TCGCTTGCTGACTAACAGCCCGCCAGAACACAAGGGCCTTAATGACCAGAGTACTGTAGGTGTGGCGGGGTATGTTCCAGTGTTGTGAGGTTCAGGAACCTGCAGGAATAACATCCGTAGCCATCCAGGCCCCGACATCAGCTTATATCCATGCCGGATCCCAGTCGTCTTCGGGCCCCTCGAACACCCTAAAACCCTAAACCCTATAAAACCCTAAACCCCGAAAGCCCTAAAGCCCTCCAACACAGATGGTCTCTCCTGCTCCATGGCTTGGAGCTCTTGCAGAAAGCATTGGCGGCTACCTGGAGAGCAAATCTTCGGGGCTACCCTAGCCCAAAATAGTTAACCTTTTCAGTTGTGGTAGGAGTATATAACTAATATAAACCCCACCAAAAGTTAGGTTACCTACTCAGCTACTTCGAAGTTCTTCCGAGGTTTTTCCACAAGAGAATGCCCTGAAGCCAGAATAGTTAGACTAGGGTTTGGGGGGGGGGTGTGTATCTTTCTGTACTCAAAATCGGGTCTATAAGGGAATGCTATTACAAACTAGTCCGACCCCTATATCCCTAAGGCTTAAATCATGAGTCCTTGGAGCCTTAGGGTACGACACCCCAAACCCGCAGTGGCAGCTGAACCCTGCAGCTCGGGATTCCGCTTCAAGCCCACACGGGTGAAGGATGCTCGGAGTTCAGCGTTTCGGCGTTTAGGGTCGAAGCCTTGTAAGCTTTATAGGGTTCAGGGTCCTCATGGATCTACAGACCTTGCAGAAATTCACTCACAAGGCCTTGCGGTTTTAGGTTTCGGGTCTGAGGGCTTGACGTTTAGGGTGTAGACGTTTGAGTCTACCCTTAGGCCCCTAAGTAGTTCCTGTTTATGGTTTATATTTAGAATCCTAGAAGGTAATCCCAAAAAGGAACTACTTAGGGGCCTGTGGGTAGAGTCCTCAAGGGCAGACCAGAACCCCCCCCAACCCTAAACCCAAAACCCAAAACCCTAAAAACCCTAAACCCAAAACCCTAGGCAGGCGCCAGGGGGCCCTGGAAGGCGCAGGCATCGTCGCAAATCGCGCTGCAGTTGCTCACATCATCCCCTGGCCGTCGGATAGAGGCCGAGATGCGTTGCCAGAGGTATGCGTTCATTCATGCATGCATGCATCATGCATGAACTCACGTATGTATGTAATTATGTCTGTCTGTATGTAATGTAATGTAATGTAATGTAATGTAATGTAATGTAATGTAACGTATGTAAACTCGCACAGGAACAATGGTGCACACCAAGTACGAATATCTGTGCATATAACCTAGCGGACAGATAGATGGCTAGATAGATAGATGAATAGATATGTGCACACTATAAGAATGAGTACCAACATAAACATAAAGACAAACATGAGCATAAACTAGGCAAGAAAACTATACATTAATATGTGCAAAACTCCAATCACGCATAACTAATACTGAATACATATAACCTTCAAACTTGACAGCTTCGCAGCTACTTAACCCTGCTCTGTGTCTGCAAACCCTGAAGACATCTGATCAACAAATCCTGAAACCTAGACCTCCAAGCCCATATGCCTGGACCCTCAACCCGAAATCATGCTAACTCCGAAAGTCATAAGTCATCCACAGATATGAGCCGCTGAAGGCCTAGACCCTACAGACTCAATCAGGTATGCTATGCCGATGCCCCTCGACTTTGTAGCCAGGGGGCTTATAGGGTATAGGGTTTTTATACGGCATAGGGCGTGGGGTTTAGGGTAGAGGGGTTTGGGTGTGGGGTGGTAGGTTTTTGGGGGTGTAGGTTTGGAGAATTCGAGGCTGAGGGCCGAGGGCAACACTGCCTTCAAGTGCTACCACTGAAACAAGAATCTGATAGTTGCTTATAGTCTCTATAGGAGCGTATACCCCAAAAGCAAACGACGAAACCCAACGTAGCTCTGCTTCTAGCCTGTGGCCTGATCCAGACAGTGACAGAGAAAAAAGAGCATCAACCCCATGAGGCGCGTGAACCGCATGTGTTTAGAAGGGTCTGGGTCCAGTTGTTGGGTTTAGGGTTTAGGGGTTTAGGGTTTCGGGGTTTAGGGGTTGAGGGTTTTTGTACCTCTAGGGGATAAGCCTAAACCCTCGACCCTAAACCCTAAACCCTGAACCCTACACCCTAATAATCCCTAATCCCTAAGCCCTCGACCCTAACCCCTAAACCCTGAACCCAAATTCTCACCTCGAGCTTGGAGCAAGTAGAGCCGGATGTCATTGCCGGCCCTCCGACTCCAGCTGCGGGCTAAAGCCAGAAATTGGCCTAGCCGGGCTTAGGGTTTAGGGTTCAGGGTTTAGGGGGCGTAGGGTTTAGAGTCCATCCAGGGATTGACGACAGAACCCAAACTTTGGCCGACATCTCCCACAACCTGCCTCTCCGAAATCGAAACGCAAAACCCCTAATAACATCGAAACCCACAACTTGCCTCCTCTTGTTATGGAGCTCTGTTTGACTTGGTGAATAAGGGAGGCATGTTGCTTCCAATAAAACATATACTATACGCACATCCTCAGAATTACGGTCACTGTAATCGGACTCCTACACCTCAACCTTCGACCCTAACCTCGAAAGAACACCTTCAAGACATCCCTGCGCATGAAAATTGAAAAACCCTCTTCAAACCCTCTTAGCCTTCTCATATTCAGAAAGCAAGAACTTCCCTAAAGCCGTTCTCTCCTAGGGTCAATAAAACCAACCCTGAACCCTAAGCCTCTAAAGCCCAAACCCCCAAAAAAACGCAGACCTCCGGCTAGGCCCTCGGCATCCAAGGCCGCGATCTCACTCAGCAGGAGTTGCGGGACTCCTCCTGAAAGGATGGTTTAGGGTTCAGGGTTTCAGGTTTAGAGTCTAAGGCCTTCTTGGTTTTACTCCAAGGAGCTTCTCGCAAGTGCAAGGTCTGGGTGTAGCTTTTCATAGGGGCTCCAAGCAAGAAGACTAAAGTGCTGTGGTAGAGTCGGGTAAAGTGGATAATTTTGAGGCCCGTGGCACTTAGACTAGAGGGTCTTGGGGGGTCTATTCTGGCAATTCCGACCTTAGGCCTGTACGGGGATACTGTTACCTAAGGGTCCATGTACCCAAATACTATATACTTTGGATCGCCTCTTTAGGGACTACATTAAGGCCAATGTATATTCTCTACGAGCACATGGACCCTTAGGGGTTACCAGTTCTAGCGAGCCCTAGAGTAACGTGCCGGGCCTTCGGCCCCATCGAGCAGAAAGAATTGGGATCGAAGGAGCTTCCCGGAAGCCGCATCCACCTGCGAGGCTACTAGGATTTGGTTGAGGGCTTAGGGTTTAGGATTTAGGTTTCAGGGTTTAGGATTTGGGTTTAGGTTGTTGGGGTTTATAGGGTTAGTCATTTCTAGTAGCGCTTTAAGGCTTTTGAAGCTTAGGGCTGCTAAGCCACAACCATCGCTGCTGCTGCCAATACTTGACAAAGGCAAAGGAGCAAATAAAAACAACCCAAACACCGAAACGGTAAGCCGCAAAATACTCTCATAAGCCCTAAACCCCCAAGTCATGCTAAGGATCATGACCACAAGCGGTAAGGGTTCTCAGTTTCCAGCTGCGGGTTTAAGAACTAAGGTAGCGGACAAAAGCGCCGGCGTGATTCCCCCGCCTACACCCTAAACCCTAAACCCCGAACCCTAATCCCTACACCCTAAACCCTAACCCTAAATCCTAATCATGTCCCGAAACGTAGCTTTTCTCAGCCGTTCTCTTGCAACTCCTTCCATCTTTCGAAGTCTCCGAGCGTTAGGCTCTGCTGGAAGTCGCAATGCTCGAACTCCTCCAGGAAGGATGCATGACCTCCCTTGTGCCTCGGCTCCACTACCCATAGGCTCCATTAGAGTGCCTAGTTTATATTTAGGATCCTAGAAGGTCATCCCAAAAAGGAACTACTATGGAGCGTATGGATATAAGAAGAGCAGAACATGGCTACAGGGGGCTTCTACCGTGTGTATAGCGGTTTTTGTGGGCTTTATAGTTTATGGGGTCGGGGGTTTAGTGGACTCTATAGCTTAGGGTTGCTGGGCGGGCATCTGGCTGCCGGGGCAAGACTGAGCCCACCCAGTGGCTCGAACCTCACGAGCTAAGCGATCTCTCAAGACCCACGACGTTACCAGTACTAGGGAGAACTTGCGAAGGTGGTGGCGCCGGTGGTATTGGGACTATACTGTTTTGAATGCCAATCGCAGTAGTGGAATCACAGGGCGAAGCCGGAGGAGGACAGGGAGAAAGAGGAGGAGGTGCTCAGCAAAACCACGTAGCACCGGCCGGGGGGCAATTTGGCCGCCATCCGACGCAGCAGATGTACATCGGAGGCATTTAGGCCCTGGAGTTTGGCAGAGCTGAAGCTTTGTAATGAAAGAGCCTTAATAAGTAGAATAGGGTTTTGGGGCCCATTATAGTATATAATGATAATCAGGAACCCCCAAAATAATATAGGTAATTGTTTAGGCCCCTACATTACCCTCAGGAAAAGAGACTGTGGAGCGCAATACAACGGCTTACGGCTTAGAGAAGCTTTGGGGTTTAGGCTTGAGGCAAAGCCTGGGCCAACTGTCCCTAGAGAGTTTTGGGTTTAGGGGTTTAGGGTTCAGGGTTTAGGGTCAGGCTTGAGGTAAAGCCCTGGGCCAAGTGTCCCTATGGGGCCTCTTTGATGTATCTTGGTAGCTTCTCCCTCCTGCTTCTGATTCGAGCATTTCCGGTTAGTGGCTCCGACAAGCTAAACACCTACTAGAACCCCTGCCCATTGGTTTGGGAGGCAGAATAAGGGCTATGTTACACGAGAATGATGTAAGTATGTAGGGCCATATACCGTATATAACGACTACAAGGTAATAATCAGGCTCACTATTAAATATTACTCCAACCCCTTTATTAAACAACCCCTTCTCGAAACTTGCTCGACCCCGGAGTGAATTTCTTGCGCATGACCTCTTGCCCCGAGGCCTCGGTGATCAGTCGTGAATTCCTGGCATCATTGGGCGCACGAAACTGAGTGACGGTGGGTATTGCGAAGCATCGTCCAGTCGGGTAGAGCTCTGCCTCGGGTTGAAGATTGTTCAGGGTTTCAGGTTTAGGGTTTAGGGTTTGGGGCTCTATAAAACCTAAACCCTAAAACACTAGCTGCTTAGCTTTTTTGCACCTTGAGGTCTGGGCTCCTAGGCCTGGAGGGTGAAGGTCGAGCTGAATGACGGGCCATCTAGGACAGCTGGTTGGGTTGTGATGGTGCGCGTGGCGAAGAGGCAACTATTTCATCTTACCTCGACCACAAGTAACAAGGTTCAAAACTCAGCCAGGGACCAAATAGGCGGCTGGGCGGCGCGGGCACGGCGCGGTCTGCTGGTAAAAACGGCAGGGCTGCAGCGGCAGCACATTCTCAAGGGTGAATGCAGCTCCGGAGCATCTGCAACCATGCTTTGTGAAAAAGCCATCGATGCTGGTAGATATCAGATGCTGGCATTCACAGAAGCCGGTCTGCAAAGCTTCTCCGTCGACTGAATATGCTTCAAAATCGGCGACAGCCAAGATTGGCTTCGATCTGATGCATTTCATTCTGGACAGCTGTCCAGCCCACACCAGTGAATCGGCCTTAGTCCATGAACCCTCTGGACCCCCGAAGCCCTAAACCCCGAGTCCTGAATCCTGCACCTTCTTGAAACTTACCACCTCAAATGAGCCCCAAGCCCTCTGGGCTCTCTGAGCCGATGGACAAAAAAATCCTTCCATCAGCAATGTGCTTGGGGACTTGAGGGGCTAAAGGTCTCTATATTTGGCAAAAAAGGAAACAGAAGGCGGTATCATTTGCCCTAGGGCCCTTACAGAGGCTTAAGCTTGTCTAGATGGTCTCATGCGGTTTAAGACTCTGCTCGAACTTCAGACAGCTATTAGGCTTCCATGGGGTCAGGTTTCGGGCTTTTGGGACGGCTTAGGCTTTGGGGGTTTGGCTGTGGCTCTAGATCTACACCCCTCGCAGCTTGAAGCAAATTATATCACGGCCCTTGCAGGGTGGTGGCTCCGTAGGCTTGTGTTGAGTTGAGGGTGTGATGTAGACGGGGTCCCATAGCTTCCATGCATTGCAGGTGCTCCTGGTGCTGCAGACCCGCGATCCCAAAACCCGAAGCCTCAATCCACGGCACCTCCACGCAAGCGGCCGCCCTAGAGGGCCAAAGCTAATCAAATCATCGCTATGACTATGTCGACAAGAATGCAAAATCCCCACTACTCGTGGCGTAACTTGAGGCCTGAACTCTAGACCCTAAGCCCCAAACTCGAAACCCTAAGCCCTAAGCCCTAAACCCTAAACCCTAAACTAAAGAACCCTAATTCAAAATCCAAACCCCAAAACCTAAAATGAAAACCCCACCCCTAAAAAACGAAAAGCGGCATTTCTGGAGCCGAGGCGCATCAGAAGACAGCAGCATGCAGTAGAACCAGCCACGGGCGAGAAGCCCATCGCTAATTCTCTTCACGGCCCCAAACCTGCAAGGACGTAGCGGGATGGGATGGAGGGCTCATGGTTGAGGCTTTTGGGCTTTGAGGGCTCCTTGGCTTCAACATTGATTCCGCATGACAGGCTCTACTGTAGAAGCATATTTTAAGGAGCAGGGAGCACGAACATCGAGGACATGGGGGGGGTTCAAGTTAGGACCCCAAACCCCGAAACGTCACGTAGAAAGATCATTCGTGTTATCTTAGTGTAAGGGCTTCGACAATTGGAATAAGGCTTTTGCGGGTGGGTGATAATAAGTTTTGAGGGCCTATATACTTATGGAGCGATGGTTTTACTCAATATTCAGACCCCTAGATCATATCTGACCCAGACACCAGGACGCCAAAGTGTCAGCTCGCACCATGAAGTCCATGTCTCTGTCCACCACGTCTACTTTCCTCAGCGGGCAGGGAATAAAGTTCGAAGGATCATGGCTTGGAGCCTAGGGTTTGAGGGTTAGTTAAGGGCTTTAAGCTTCAGGGTTAATTATATCGTTTGGGGGTTGTGGTAGATGTTGTATGCCGAAAAAGGAGCATCGGGACTGTGGGCAATCGTCAAGAGTCTTACCGGTGTCTGAATGATAGCTCTAAGCCTAAAACCACATCCTCCCATCCCCTGCGCCCCAAGAACTAAGATGGACAGTAAGCTATCACGATCCCCCGTGTTTGGGTTTCCGTGTTGCAACAAGGAGAGTGTTCCTTTCGGAATCAGCTAGGCGTCCCAGCACTCAAGTTGCCGTGGAGCTCGCCGTAGCGAACTAAACCAATCAGGGTGCCCTGAGTGGGGAAAAACTCAACATCGGCAGTCTGTAGCACAGCGAGAACATCTTCGAGAACCTGAGGGGCGTCCATCCCCCGACCCGCCCCCGTCAGAACACGGCTCCATGAGCTTCATATGTCAACTCCTCGTGCATGAAGCCCCCTCCTTCACTAAGGATCTTATAATGGGTAGCCTTGCTGTACCATAGCTCTACAGGGATGTCCAAAGGCATCGCAACTAGTTGGCATGGGCTCTAGAGGTATCATATCTTCATAGCTGTGGCATGACAGACCTTTGCTTGTTTGTTACCGCTTGAATTGCTGAGGGGTCCTTGTGAGCATCCTGGTGTTTGGTTAGGATCCCCCATCTTCTGAAACAACCAAATTGCTCCTGGGAATGCCCACATGATTCCGCATCGTTGCACACTGTCTTTGTATGCGTTCGGGCGTGGATGTAGGGAGCAGTGTCAGCACCACTTACACTCCGACCCGGGCCCTTAGACCTTCAACCACCACACCTCCTGCTGCTCGGACGAGCTGAGCACCACTTTAGGTATGTCTCCGACATAGCTGAATGTTTCCAGCCTTCAGGGGTTGGTGGGCACAAGGTCCAGCGTTTCAGGCATCTTGGGTTGAGAGCTTTAAACACGAACTCTGAACACAAAACCCCTAAAACCCACACCCTACACCCTGAACCCTAAACCCCCCCAAACCCTTACTCCCCAAGCCCGAAACCCCAAACTGCCCAGGCCGTATGGCAGGAGGAACCGGCAAGGTGATGACTCCACAGCGGCTGGAGAGCCAGCGTTGATCCTTGAGCACGCCCGGAATGCTCGGAGGGCCTGGTGGGGGTGGTTCGGGTGTAGGATTTAGGGTTCAGGGTTTAGGGAGGCTGAGGGTATAGGATCGAGGGCCTGGGCGTGTAGGATTCCTTGCAGGGTTGTTGCAAGAGTTCCGATCATGAAGGTGCAGGGTTTTCCGGCTTCAAGTTGGGGTTTACAGGGTTCAGGATCCGAGCGGAAAACCCTTGTGAATTTAGATTCTACCCTAACCCAAAATACCTGCCTTTTCTTTAAGGACTTATATCTGTAAGGAAATCAGAATAAGGAAGCCGAAACAGGTAGGGTCCTTGGGATCCAGGTGGGCTTTAGAGGTTTGGGGTTTCAGAACTTTCGGAACACCTTGTGGGCGTTGAGGGTTTTACGTGTAAGACCCCGAACCTAAACTCTGAAATGCTCATACCCCAACAACCCATAAAGACCTAAACCCTGAAATGCTCATACCCTAAACCCTAAACCCCACACCCTAAACCCCATAATTACCCCAAGCCCGATGCCCTAAGCCCTGCAACCCTGAAGCCTCAGTCGGCTATGACTCCAAGAGTTCCGGGCTAAAGGGCTTAGAGCTTTAGGATTTTGGCGATGTGTCGAGGATGAGATGCTGATTTTATGAGAGTTCTGTAGGGTTTCATGATGTTATGAGTGAAGTTGAGTGGGTTTAGGGTTTAAGGGCTGTCGGTTTGCTGCGCGGGTGTGAGGGTGTCTTTACATACAAGAGCTACGGCTTCATGGGCGTATTCGGTGAAATGAAATTGTGCATCGCCCCCTTGCCTTGGGTAGCTACAGCTGCAGATCCATTCATAAACAGCCTAAGCCCTAAACCCTGCATCCCTCACTTCTGATTCTACAGCCGAAGCTGGGCACATAAGCAAACCCAAATCCCCCAGAACCTTAGTGTAGCCATCACAAGATTAGGATTCTGACTGTAAAGCCCCAGAAAATATGAGCTGCACGAGCACTTAATTAGCAACCCCCGCCCTGTCATCCCCCTAAGCCCAAACCCTACATCTAAACACTCAACCCTGATCCTGAAACCCTGAACCCTAAATCCTAAACCCTAATCCTGATGTTCAAATTCAGAATCGAGATACTCAATTCGTTCTTTACGGCCAGGATCAGTTTGGCACTCAGCTGTAGAGCGAGGTCGCATGGCCATTCTCGCCGCTCCTTCTCCGGACAGCCGTAGGTCATTGTAGGTGTCGCGGCTTTACCCCAGCAACCTACACCTCCTCCTCCTCCTCCTCCTCCTCCTACTACTACTACTACTACTACTACCTACTAGTACTGAGTAAGACGACACGTTCTGGATTCGTCAGGCAGTCAGTCAGTCAGTCTGGAATTAAAATCCAATCCATCCAGCGGCAGTGGGGCTCCGAGGCTGCTGAGCCTCAAAACATCTCACTCTGCACAGCACTTCCTTTACCCGACAACCTCGACACATCTATGCACTTGTTCGGTACACAGAACTGACAACTAAATATGCACCATGCTCAGAACCCAAACTACAGCATATATCCCAGGCCCTAGGAAGTATGGCTACCAGTGGGTTCGAGGTACCCTAAAACTCTAAGTACGGAAGTCCAACGACACTCCGATCTCTGCTCCTCCACGGGCGATTGCATGATCTTGGTCATGATCTCTCCTGGGCTTATGGTTAAACTAAGGGTTACCTAGGGTTTAGGGTTATAACTAGGGCTTAATGATTAGGGTTTAGTTTAGGGTCGGGCTCGTATCAGGCGCAGGGTTTCGAGGTGCTAAATCCTAAACTCGCGCTGTCTTGGACACCTGTAATCTTTAGTTTCCACCGTGTTCGGGAACCATGGGATTTAGGAATCGAACGAAATCTAACCAATTCCGCAGATATCTTCAGTAGAACCTCGAGCCCGAAGAATGATGGGGGTTTAGGGCGCAGGGTTGAGCTCTAAGCCGAAGATTTACAAGCTAACAATCCCTAGCTTCTACTTGCCGAAGGTCGGAGGAAATGAACATCGAGATGGGATTCGACCAACTCCGCAGCTTCCTTGCCGACGCCCATCAAAGGCCTCGGGTCGCCATATATGATACAAGCCTCAAGCCTCGGGCGACTAGAATCGGGTTCCTTTAAAGGGCTCCTGTGAAGGGCCTTTATAAGGCTTACTAGTAAGAGCAATAGGGTTTGGGGGGATATATTATGATACACGCATAAGTAATACGGAACTCAAAGTAGTAATATACGTAATTATATTGAAGCTTCTACATTAGCTTCTACAGCCACAGTCCTAGAGCCTCAGATCCGAACGTTAAAACCTGAAACCCCTACACCCTAAACCCCCAAGCCCCCAAACCCTAAACTCAACAGGACTTTGAGCTTTTGCGCTACTTTCTTTATGCTTTTTGTCAGAGGCCTTTGATTTAAGTGTGTTTTGCAGGTGCTCTCTCCGTTTACTCGGGTTCAGGCACCCGCGGCAATGTCAAAACCCGTTTCTC